TTGACTTTACAGGCAACCCAATAATAATTTTTTTATTACAATGTAGAAGAGCCAGCAGGTGGCATGGTGGTTAAAGGTGCTGGATTCCCACAGGGCCAACCGCGGTTTGAGTCCCAAACCTGGTGGCTTGCTTTCTTCCTTTCTCTTTCTCTGTCTCCTTTTTCTTTCTCTCTGTTTCTGTCTGAACAAATTAAATAATAATAATGGGGGCTGGCAAGTGGCGTGGTGGTTAAGGGTGCTAGACTCCTACATGGTTGACCACAGTTCGAGTCCCGAACCTGGCAGCCTGAGAGCTAGCTTGCTCACTTTCTCTCTCTCTCTCTCTCTCTCTCTTTCTGAATCTTGCTATGGTTAAGTTAAAAAATAATAGTAATAACAATAAGGATAAATTTTTTTTAAAATAGCAAATAGAATTAAATAAATAACTCTCTTTTTTTTTTAATTACAGTGTAGAGACACACATTCCCTTCTGATCCTATCCTCAAACCTAGTGGTATTGGATGTCTTCAGAGGAATTTGCATGTCTTAGAACTACATGCAAAAGCATTTCTCTAGCACTTTCCTATTCTGTTTCCACACAGTTTCCTATTCATGGTCTGGAATTAAAGGGGCTTAATTCCAAAAGAACAGATAATTAGAACCTTACTAAAGCAGAGAATAAGGAAATAGAGTCATACAATAGGGCAAGTAATGCCATCTTAACCTTAAATAGAAGGGAGCCCCAAGAGGCTTTCAGACAGGTAATATATTATTCCCATTTATTGGTTTGTTGGAAAAGTCATGCGTTTTTACATAGAAAAATACATCATGACTTTTCCAATGACCCAATACACTAAAAGCCATTAAGCCTCAGAAGCAGGGTGATTTCCCCATGTCCACATACTAATAAGCAGTTTATAAATTAGAATTCAAACTATTCAGATCTTTTCTCCAACACATTTTTCATCACACTTCTATGATGAAGCTGAATTGGAGTGAAAAGAGCAATAGTCTTCAATCAGGGCTGCCACATTCCTGTCATCCCTCCTTCTGAAATATTTGAACTTAACTCCCCACCCTGTTAAGGGCACAATACCACACCTGAAATGTGTCTGGCCCTGCGACCCCTACCTGTTGAAGGACTTATATTGGGGAAGTTCAGCTTTGGCTCCATAAGCCAGCAAGTCAATGCCAAGTTCCACTTTTTGCTGGGGATCAACCCCCATGGCTCGCTCCCATGGGGAAATATAGGTCTTGAACACAGTGATATGTTTTCCTTCTCCACCTGCCTGGTCTCCTGGTAGCCATGGGAGAAAAAAGCAAGTTAAGTAATAGCACTTAGTATCCAAGGGAAGTTTATCTCACACTCCTGCATTAGGGAAGTTGCTGGGGCTAGGGACCAAAGGTGAAACCCTCTGATCATTGAAGAGGTTTGTGGCATAATGACATCCTGGTGTCAGATCTGTGACTGAATCTGAAAAGCCAGGAAAGTGACTGAAAAATCGAGGTTTCTGGGTGAAATACATACATCTTTGTATTCTCCTGATCAAAAGAGCCCACCAAAATATCTCAACCGTATCCTCCACCCATCCACCCCCACTCCCCACACGCAGCCTAGGCCTTATCCCTGGGGACCGCTCTGCTCTAGGAACCCGACACATTATCGATAGATGAGAGTACTGAACCCAGCACATTATCAATGGATGAGAGTACTTGCCTGATCCTGTCTCACCAGCCCCTGTGGTGCCAGCAGCCCCTCCTCTGCTAGCCTGGTCTCCAGAATAACCTGTACCTCCAGCTCCAGACCCATGGCTATGATGGTGCTGCTGGTTAGAGCCATACTGTCCTGCAGAGCCACTGCCCCCTGCCTGGCCACCACTGCCACCGCTGCCCTTGCTGTAGGAGAATCCCTGGCCAGTTGTACCCAACTGTCCTCCCACTGTGGGAATAAACTTCTGGAAGTGATCCTGAAAGGAAAGAACAAAGTGAGGGGGAAGATTAGCAATGGGTATGGGAAATATACAAAGACAGGTATACATAGCAAAGAAGGAGGTGATCAGAGACAATGGTCAACCAAAAGACACTGAATCCTCTGAGGTTCCCTGCTCCCACTTCTAGTAGATGGACAGTGTGGACAGCCTGAGAGGAATTACTCTGCTTAAGTAGGACCTTCCTGGCTCAGTTCCTTTACTTCACTTTCCAGTGGGGACAGCTCATTCTCCCCATTCCCCTTCCTTATCCTTTCCAAGGCAAAGAAAACCAATACTTCTGTTCAACAAAAATTTAAAAGGATAGGGTTGCCATGGAAAAATCTAGTCAATTTGAAGAACTAGACATAACTACTTTCTCCCTTCCGCTGCTTGTCCAACTGTCAAAATGTTCTCTCTTCCTCCTTCTTCCCCTCCCTCTCTCCTCTTGGTGCCTGTTGGGCCAGACTTACCAGTGAAACTGTAGCGGGTAGAGGAAAGGGTGGCCCAAAAGGGCAACACTGAATTCAGCCCTGAAGCCTAAAAATAACCCCAACAACTCCTTCAGGAGATTCTCCTGGCCACCCCACCACACCTCCTTGCTCCACCCAGTGTAACCAGACCCAGGCAGAGAGGACTTTGGGCCTCCTAAAGTTAGATATGACTGCTCAGCACTTTTACTCTGCTTCTACATAAGGCCCAATGACAGCCACTCCTGCCCCAGCTCCCTGTAGGTATCCACAGAGGGTCTTCAAAAAAGTTCATGAAAAATGTGTATTACGAAAAAATTATGCATGAATTTAAAAAAAAAAAAAAACCTTTTACACTAAAGTAAACTCATACTTCGGTTCCATTTTTCATGAACTTTTTGAAATCCTGTTTGCATTCTTCCTCCCCACCCAAAGGAGATAGAGGAAGAACAAAGGAAATGGAGAAATTCCCTCCTTCTCAGCTATAACATCTTGTGTCTGGCCCCTCTCCAGCTCTTACTTCTCTTTGGAGTAGGAACTTGATTGGAAGATGTAGGCTTGTAAAGAAGGCGAGTTTCAGACTCCACATCTGGGATCCTTAGGGAAGAGACTGACACTTCTTTTTTAAGAATTATTTTATTTAACTTTATTTATTTATTATTATTCCAGTTTGATCAGAGAGAGAGAGAGAGAGTGGGAAAGTGAGAAAGCAAGCTTCCATGTGAGAGTCCAGTGCCTTTAACCACCATGCCACCTGCTGGCCCCAAGACTGACACTTTTTAACTAAAAGAACAGCTCAGGAAGAAAATGGTCATAAAAATTAGTTAAACTTGGGGCTGGCAAGTGCTGTGTTGGTTAAGGTGCTAGACTACCACATGGCTGAATATGGTTTGAGTCCGGACCTAGTGACTTACTTTCTCACTCCCTCTCTTTTTATCTTTCTCTCTGTCTCTCTCTGGTCAAATTTAATAATAAATAAATAAAATGAATAATTCTTTTTAAAAAATTTGCTAAACTTTTTCTAGGGATGCCATATTTATTGACTAAAATTACTGAATACCACTTAAATTTGAATTTCAGCTGCAGAACACATTTGTTTTTAGTATAAATATGCCTCAAATATTACATAAAACATACTTATACTAAAAATTATTCATTGTGGGGGACCAGCAGGTTGCGTGGTGGCTAAGGAGCTGGACACTCCCACATGGGTGACCACGGTTTAAGTCCCGGACCTGGTGGCTTGCTTTCTCACTTTCTCTCTCTCTCTCTCCGTCTCTCTCTGGTCAAATTAAAATAAATTAATGAATACATTAAATAATTATTTTTTAAAAATTATTCATTGTGTTTCCGAAATTAATATTTCAGTGGGCATCCTGCATTTGTATTTAGTTTTTATGTCTCAGATATTGCATGGGACATACTTATATATGTAAAAAAGTACTCAGCCCATGGCCTGGTGGCTAAGGCAGCTGGGTCCCACATGTCCAACAGCACATTTTTTTCTTCAAGAATTATTTTATTTATTCATTCATTTATTTTAAATTTGACCCGAGAGAGACTCAGAGAAAGAGAAAGAGAGAGAGAAAGAAAGCCACCAGGTCCAGGACTTGAACCATGGTTAGCCATGTGGTAGTGGCCATACCCCATGGAAGATGATTTATCTCTTTTTGTCTCCCTCTCTGTCTCTTTCCTACAAGAGCACATACCCTGTGGCAAATTTTTTTAAAAAAACATTCCTGTGTATCTGAAACTCAAATTTAACTGAGAATCCTGTTTTTTTTTTTTTTTGGAGAGGTTTTCGCTATAGGGCGCATGTGCTCGCCAGACAGACAGAGAGAGACAGAGAGACAGAAAGCGAGAAATCACCCCCCAGGGGGGATGGTCATGCTGCAATCCCTTCTCCTCCATTCTCTCGGGATCTTGGGCACGCACGCACACGTGTCTGGCGTGAGTTTTAAGCCACTGGGTCCGGGACGCGAACCGCGGTCGACTACGTGGGAGTCCAGCGACATAGCCATTACGTTAACTGCTGGTTCCCAGAATTCTGTATTTTTAAAATTTTATCTTATTTTGGGACCAGCAGTTGGTGTAATGGCTATGTCACTGGACTCCCATGTGGTCGACCGTGGTTCGAGTCTCAGACCCAGTAGCTTGAACTCATGCCGGGCGCGTGTGCCTGTGTGTTCAAGATCCCGAGAGGAGAATGGAAGAGAAGGGATTGCGGCGTGGCCATCCCCCCCAGGGGGTGATTTCTCGTTTTCTGTCTCTCTGTTTCTGTCTTTCTGGTGAGCACAAGCACCCTATAGCAAAAACCACTCCCCCAAAAAATTATTTATTTTTATATCTCAAATATTACATGGAATATACTTTACTAAAAAAGTATTCACTATGTATCTCCACTTCAAAATACTGAACTGGACGATCTGTGTTTTATCTGGCAATCCTATCTTTAACACTTACCCATACTGAGAAGGAATTTCCTCCCTGCGGGTGTGGTGCTCCCTACCCCTTCACTGGCTGTAAGACAGAGCCTGAATTTCAGAAGTGGACTAAAATTCACCCTGGATTTTTTGTGGGCTCAATATATCTAGAGGTTTAAAAGGCTTATACATTTTTGGGAAGGAGAAGTTGATGGTATTTTGGAGGTTCAGGGCCTACCAAGAAACTGTCAGAAAAGGCACTAGGTTTTGAGAGAGTGAGTGGTAAAGTCCCAGACTCACCATTGAGTTGTCGGAGAAAACATCAGGGTGATTCTCATAGATAAATTTCTCCACCCGCATCTGCCGCAGTTTGAACATCTTGGAGCCCCGGTTGGTGAGCAGTGACAGTTCCTCCAGCATCACATCCCTTGGGACACTGATCTTCTTGCCCAGATTCAGACCTGAGCTTTCCTGTCCACCTTTGAGAGAGGTGAGGGTAGGGTGGTGAAATAAAGAGTAGAGTCAGGTTTTCTGGACTTAGAATGCAGACTCCATCTACAACTAAATGCATGTGTCCCAATAGAGATCATTTAGAAAAACAGTTGCTGGTTGCGATGCCTGACCAAACTCAGTTTAGTTTGCAAGAGATTTTGATTTCTTGGCTTTGGAGTTGGAAAGAATAAATGGTAACTGCGGTGCAGACTGGAGACAGTGAGGATACTAGAATCGAGAGGTAAAAGGGGCATGGGCATGGGATGCAGGGAAAAACAAGTAAAGGAACATCAACAGATGAAGGCCACTAGAAACAATGGCATGGGGGGAGGCTACAGTAAGGAGTTAGCCATCTCTAAATACAGACTCGTGGATCAACTCGTTCCCTTTTACTTCCCCTTGGTGAGCTCTGGCTCCAAAGAGCCTCTAGGTATTGGAAGAGCTCTTCACATGCCTGCATACCTGCCCAGCCCCAGGAAACGTGCCTGTGCAGTTTTCTATTTTAAGTGCTCCTTAACTCTGGGGAAAATAAAGAATATAAACATTTATTGAGAACTTAGCCAGTCTCCGTCATTTGCTCTTCCTCAAACATACCTCATTGTCCCATGCGTCTGTTGGTCCTGGACCTATGCTGGGTAAATCTGGCAGAGTACTTTCTCAGATTGTAAGACAAGAAGGATGGAAATATTGCTGGTCAGTGTTGAATCTTTTCCCCTTCTTTCTCTCTGCCCTTCTTACCTCTCCCTCTGCCCACTCCTGCCATAGGAATTCCTCTTGCCAATTCACCCTAAGATATATATAGCTTTATAAAATTTCTGGGACCCTTGGGCCAGGGGTGCTTTTTTTTAAAGAATTATTTATTTAATATTTATGTATTGATTTATTAAAAATTTGACCAGAGAGAGAGGTAAAGTGAGAAAGCAAGCCACCAGGTCTGGGATTCAAACTGTAGTCAGCCATGTGGGAGTCCAGTGCCTTAACCACCATGCCACCTGCCAGCCCCTAGGAATGCTTTTAGTTAAAAGTCCTACACTGGTCCAGCCCGGTAGCCTAGTGGTTGGGGCAGCTGGATCCTGTATGGCCAACCATGGTTTGAATCCCAGCTCCAGCAGTTTGAGGGATAAGCCAGGCATGAGTATGCATGAGTGCCCAAAATCCCAACAGGATGGAGAAATGGAAGAGAAGGGATCACAGCATGAGTGCACCCCACTGGGGGTGGGTGCTTTCTTTCTCTCTCTCTCTGGCGAGTGCACTTCTTGGCAATTATAAAGGAAGAGAAATCCTATGCTAGGTAAATGCAGACATGCCTTACCTCCAGTGAGTTCCATGATCAGCTTGCTGGATTTCCTCTTCTTGTTGGGGGCCGGGGTTCCTGAGAGCGGCATGATGGAGGTGGATTCAGCCTGGATAGGGAGAAGTGGGTGTTGGAGGACTGACAGAGACTGGGACGAGTGAGTGTTTGCCACAGGACAGTCCTTCTTACCTGGGATCAGGGGTCTCAGAGAACAGCATTTCATTAGATTTTCAAAGAAATATACATTCCCCCAAAAGTGAAAACCTACTACTTTAGAGCTTCTATTTTCTTCGGAGGCAGCGTAGGAAGTATAGATGCACCCCCTACCCCAATCTTCCACTATCCTCTCGTGTGCTGTTTTACATTGAACCATAGAGTGGGTGCAGGGACTAGAGTGGGTGCAGGGAGAGTTTGAAAAATAATCACAATAATACAGGCAAGCAGTGCACCCAGGTCTCATTGTTTGGCATGGTTGAAGTTTTTGTTTGCACTGGGTTATCAGACTAGGGCTGTGATTTCCAAGCTGTGATCTTTCCTCAGTCTTCCCCCACATCCCAGGGGGACAGAGAAGTGTTCTTCCAGGGTTGAGGAGGTTCAGCCAAAAACATTCTCCATAGGAAGGAGAGGTTGTTGCTCCTCCAGTGGGCCAGCTGGAACATAACCTGAGAGGTCATGACTGTGCTCCCTGCTCCTCGGTCACTCCCGTCCCAGACCCCAGAGCTGGATGAAGAAAAGAGTCAGAGACATTTGAACCCTGACATATGTCAGTCAATTTAGCAATATCACAATAGTGGGGAATTGAGGGAAGTCAGGAACATAGTTAAGATCTGAAAATGGAGGGGGACAAGCTGGAAAAAAATAGACTCCAGTTCCTCCTTAACAGAATTTGGCCATCAATGAAATGCTGCCTTCTACTGAGTCCTGTCTCACAAACATATCTGCAACTGTATTAACTTGGGGTCTCAGATCCTCTTTCTATTCCTTTAATGCCTCTGCCAACATCCCCATTCTCCACAACCTCTTGGACCATTCTCCTTCCAATTTGCCATGGCTCTTTTGAACTGGACAGCTGGGAGCTGAGCATAGATGGGCAAGGGGTTAATTCCCAGGATCAAGAATCACAATTGCAGGCACAGACCCAGAAGTCAACAGAGTGGGCTCTAGCCCCTGTAGCCATAGAACTGGAGACTTACCGGCCGCTCAGGTGGTGGTCAGCTCTCCCTGGGGTCTAGCAGCTTTGGAGGACTGAGCTGCTGTGACCGGAGAACACGAGCTGGCCAGGCATGGGGGCAGCACTGGCAGTGGGGGAGGGAGGGTGGTTATTAATAGAGATGATGAGTACACGCAGCTCAAATGGCACAGGGGGTACAGAGACCCTGGAACCAAGATCCTGCCCTCCTTGTCCACAAGCTCAGCAAGGGGATAAAAGGCTTTGGGGATTCTCCCACTGAACTGTCTGAGCCAGTGCTCTGTCTTCTCAGGACCTCCCCTTCCCTTTGCACCTACAATCTGAGATCTGAAGAAGTATTCAGGAAGGAATTGAAGACTGAGAGGGAGAGGAAGCAAGCCACAAGTGGTGAATAGGAATTCAGAGTGGGAGAGAGAGACCTTGGAGATCATACCCTGAGGGCTACTCAGAGCCAGTCCAGACCAGAGCTGGAGGAGCCTGTGGGTGTCTTTGGGGGTGGGAGGGCTTAAGGTACTATGTTTGAGCTCAGGAAGTCTTTACAATGGAACTGCTCTCAAAGTTCCTGGATGGGGTAGGCCATGTACCACAGCAATTAAGGGCTGTTCATTGGGAGCTGGATTCCACATGGCCTACTGCAGTTCAAATCCCAGTCCCAGCAGTTTGAGAAACACACTAGGCATGTATGCATACCCAAAGTTTTGATGGGATGGAGAAATTATTGTAGTGTGACCATGCCCCATTGGGAGGTGCTTTCTTTCTCTCTCTGGTGAGCCCATGCACCCTCTGGCAATCATTTAATCAATTAATCTATCAGTCAGGCTGGCTCTGTGGCTTGGTGATTAAGGCAGCCAGATCCCACATGGCCAACCAGGTAGTTTGGACTTGGAGGCTTGAGAAACATGCTGAGTGTGCGTGTGTGTACGTGTGTGTGTGTGTGTGCGTGTGTGTACGAGTGTGTGTGTGTGTGTGTATGCCCAAAATCCTGACAAGAAGGAGAAATGGAGAAGAGATTGTGGCATGACCATGCCCCGTAGGGAGTTCTTTCTCCTTTCCCTCTGTCTCTGTCTATGTCAAGCATACATGCTTTCCAATGAGAAAGAAAGGGGGAGAGAGAGAGAGAGAAAGAGAGAGAGAGAGAGAGAGAGGGCGAAACATAGATTAAAAAAAAAAAAGTTTGGGACTAGCAGTTGGCAAAGTGGCTATGTCACTGGGCTTCCTTGTAGCCGACCGTGGTTTGAATCCCAGACCTAATGGTTTAAATTCACGCCAGGTGCGTGTGCATGCGTGCCCAAGATCCTGAGAGGAGAATGGAGGAGAAGGGATTGCAGCGTGGCCATACCCCTGGGGGATGATTTCTTGCTTTCTGTGTCTCTGTCTCTCTCTGTCTTTCTGGTAAGTGCACGTGCCTTATAGCAAAAACCTCTCAAGAAAAAGTTGTAGGACCAGTAGGTGGTGTAGTGGTCAAGGTGCTGGACTCCCACATGGTCGATTGCAGTTTGAGTCCCAGACCTGGCAGTTTAAAAATCATGCTGGGCATATGTGTGTGTGTATCCAGAGTCCTAAGAGGAGAATGGAAAAGAAAAGATTGCCATGTGGCCAACGCCTTTGGGCAGTGATTTCTCACTTTCCCTCTCTCTGCCTCTTTCCAGAGAGCGCAGATACCTTATGGGGGGGAGGGGGGGACCCTGGATGGGTTGGTTTTTGTGACAGCCAGATCTCAGCAGGATAAGATACTAAATTAACTAAACCAAATATTTCCTAGGCAGTCAGGAAAGATGTAGAGAAGACTTGACTGTTTA